TGAGTGGGCTTCGTTTACGCTGATTGGAGATGATGTGAGGCTCGAGTTTCACAATCAGAGGTGAGACTCGTTGAGAACAGGTATTTTTTAAATTAAAGTTAAATTCGAGTTTGACAAGCAGAGGTAAGACTCCGTGAGAACATATATATAAATATATATATATATATATATCTACACACATTTTTTTTCCTTTTTGAAGAGTTACTATCTCCGCTCTTTGGTGTAAAGTATAGAATCTCAGAGATGCCTCTCTACCAATGAGATACTAGTAATAGCCAATTATTTATATATGTTGTTGCTTGGTGTAATTGTGTTTGCTTTATATCCAAAATGTTAATTGAGGTAATAATAAATTGGGTTATTTCAAACTTTTTCTTGCAGGAAAAAAGACCCCGATAGAGTAAATAATGACAAGTACTCGAAGGGAACAGAGTTAAAAGACTTTTAGATGGATAAATTATCAGAAATAAGTAGAGAAAATACTCTATCCGGTACTTCATCGACATTAAAAAAAAGAGCTATCCCAGGTTAGGGGAGAGTTATTCAAATTTTTGGTGCTTTCTTTACTAATATTCTCAGGAGGAGGTAATGGTTATGTACTCAACAATTTTTTGTCTTTCACGCAAAAATTATATTCTGATATAATAAGCACGAAACAATGTTGACCTACGTAAGCCTTTTGAGTAAAACGCATTCAGTATTCATTGTGCGCGTGGTCGCGTGTGCGACAATTCTGCTTTTGTTAATTAACGGTAAACTAAAATCAATACGCGACTTTTTCGCTTTTTTGTAAGTTTATGAAAGAATTTACAATAAACTTGACCGATCTTTACTCCCCAAACAACGATGCGCCTTATAGCCAAGTATTTTAGCGATATTTTCAGTTTGAAAACACGCAATAATGAAGTTGCCGAATTGGGGGTGCGTCTTAAAGCCGAGTGAGCCTCATAACCGAATAACTCCGGTAGTATGGAGGTAATTACCATTGATCAGTTCCTATTCTCAGTGACTTTGTTAAATACTTTTGATCACAGTTTTCATTTTTCCTAATCACAAATTGGCAGCAACAGTGTTTGATAGAGGGTCTTAATAAGATTTTTGTGAGCCGTTAGGCGTAAAACTTGACAAATTTTAACCTTAGCTCGTAAAAGAGTTAACGGTAAAAACATTTCTAGTGGCAACAATGGAAAGATATTAACCGTTAGCCGTAAAAGCCATGCCAACACTCTTTTACGACCCTCTTGATACTTAGAGGGGGCATGCAAGGGGTTCATCGGGAGATTTTGCCCCCTATCCCACAATTCACGATAGTAAAAAATTCTGGCCAGAATGCCCTTAAATTCAAATTTGACACAACCAAAAACCCCCCACCCCTCCCATTTGAAAAATGTTCCCAACGCCTCAGATTCTAATAAATAGAAAATAACTTGTGAAATATCTATAGTGTCAGCTGCATACGATAGCAAAAAATTACGGTAGGAATCTTTTTATTGTCAGTTACTTACCACTGATCTAAGACGTCATATACTTCAAGAGGGTCTCAATGGGATTAACCGATAGCCATGAAACGGCCACAAAAAAATCTAACCGTTAAGCTTACAAATCGTCAAATTTTAACCTTTATTCGTAAAAAAAATCAAACCTCAAAAAAAATTTCTGGTAACAAATTATGAATTTAGTTGTTAAAGATTTCTGGTAACAACTCATGGAATTATGTTAACCGTTACTAGTAAAATGGCCAAAATTTTAACCGTTAGCCGTAAAAGCCATCACCCCATTGAGACCCTCCCTCTACTACAGTGCGCCCATAATTCTCAAATGTGACTTGTTTGGTTTTGACAGTGTAGCCTTGGAAAACGAAATTTCCCCGAATTTGGAGAAATCAGGTAATGTTGACACAAATACTAAATTAAATGGGAAGCAAGCTTGTCAAGCTTGCAATTGTTTGTTATTTTTCAAAGACAAGGAAGAACCTAAGCCATATATCATTTTTATCATTCAAATGATCGCTGGGTGTTAGTGCCCTCTAGTTACAAGTTTCTTGCGCTTGTCTGAGGTAAAGAGGAAACAAAAAGGTTGAACAGCGCGAATTGCCGTTGGGAGTTTTCAGGAAAGTCCCTTCCGGATGCGCGGATCTTACAACGTAACTGTAGTGAAGTCCATTTCCCCCACCTCTCTCCCCTCCTCAAAAAAAAATATAACTATTAAGTATAACTATTGATTATTACTGAAAGTCAAGCTACCTCCTCATTTACTTGCTGTCATATTTCAGTCATTGGATTAACGCCTTCAAAGGTAAGACCAGTGAAATGGTTATGTTCGAGCAAATTACCGATCCATTCCGTCCGTTTTTTTTTTTTTTTTTTATCTATTATATCAGTTACTATTGTTGTCTTCGATCATGCAAATCACACCCGCAAGAAAATGAAAAGTTCATGTGTACAGTGGGTCAGTTTTCACGCACAGATAGCTTACTGTTTAAAGACAGAAGCTTTAGTTGTCGCTCAATCTTATCGATCTCGTGATGCAAATCCTAACGTACTAAAAGGGATGAACTTTGAAGCCTGACGTTTTCGGATAAACAAAGTAAGATGTGTCATTTTTGGATGCTCAAATCCATCATTAGTTAGAATAGTGTGACGTGCCAAACCAAAATAAAGTCACTAAGTTTTGTTGGGATTTTTGGCTTCGATCATGCAAATCACACCCGCTAGAAAATGAAAAGTTCACGAAGACAATGAGTCCATTATCACGCAAAGATAGCTTAGCGTTAAAAAAAAGAAACTTAGGTTGTGCTGTGATCTATCTTGTGATGAAAATCAAACCTTTCAAAGGGGTAAACACTAAAGCCTGACATTTCCTATTAAAAAAAGAATAACTCTTCTCATTTTCCATGTTCAACTACATCATGAGCGATAAAAGTGTGACGTACAAAACCAAAATACTGCGTTCTTATTGATTGAGTGGAAGGGCCGGAAGGAAAATTAGTTCGATAACCATTTTAACATAAGACCACTAACCGTTTTCAATATGCAATTTTATTTCGAGTAGCCTAGAGGGGGGACGGGAATAACCTAAAAAACACACGAGAACTAAATACCTAAAACACTCTGACAGCGGAAGTTGAAGGTTGAGAAAAGTCCTGAGTGTAATTCATTATTTTTATTGTTTCATTTTCAAAGCAACAGCCACATTGTCAACATCTTGGTAAGTGCGATTGAAAATCTTTCCTAGTCACTCGATTTTTATCAGCTTTAGTTATTTAGT